GATCGCCAAATCGACGGCGGTACTACAGGCAGATATATGCGCCCTGGGAGAGCGTACTGCTAAATTGGAGGAACGTGTGGAGGCGACTACACAGGCCCACAACACCGCCGTCGACAGAGTGAACCGCATGACGGCTCATGTTATTGATATGGACCTGGCCCTGGAAGATATGGCCAATCGCTCTAGGAGGAATAACATCCGCCTGAGAGGCTTACCAGAAAGGCCAGAGGAAGACTTACAAGGGCTGCTAATGTCGATCTTCCAGCCCCTCCTTCCACACATTTCGGAGGAACACTGGCATATGGAGAGAGCCCACAGGGCGCTGAAGGTACAAAGAGCGGAGACCAATACCCCGAGGGACGTCATTATAAACTTTCTATACTATAAAACCAAAGAGGCTTTGATGAAAAAGAGTAGAGAGGGTCCTATCCGACATGAAGGAGCCCTTATCTCATTCTACCAGGATCTGGCCCCTTCGACACTACAGAGGAGAAGGGACTGGCGGCCCATTACTGGGGCTCTGAGAGGGGCAGGCCTGAAATACGCATGGGGTTTCCCCTTTAAGTTGATGGTTTTCCGAGATGGCCGTGCGCACATCCTGTCACCGGGGGGTGACCCGAAGCGCCTGTTCCAGGGCCTGGGACTACAGCCTCCCCCGGATCTGCCCGACTTGGCGATGGGACCGGAAGAACTGCCGCAGATGCAAGCGGAGTGGCACGGAGTGGGACCGAGAAGCCAACGTTGAACATAGCGGTATCGTATTATCCTCCTATACCTGCAAGGGGGATTATTGGGTTTTTTTTCCCCTCTTTTACTCCCTTATGTTGGGCGGCCGAGACTTTTCTCCTTTTTGTTGGGCGGGGGAAGGGACTGGGAACTTAGAAGCACTTGCTGCGCTTGGGCCTTCCCTCTGAGTCGGCTGATTGTGACTGTTTTTTTTGCCGGGGAGATCGGGGCTACTTGTTTTTTGTCCCCCGGTTAACCCTTACTTATCCTGCAAGTTTATTGACCTGAGACAATTGGGGCAGCGACGATGGGGTATAGAGGCTCACGCTACCCCCCCTGGGGATGGAACGCCGCACCACATGTGTTTTATTTTATCTTTGGTTTTTCCACTCTGGACCGGTGCGGGGAAAGAATATTATACATGGGACTTTGAAAATTTGGACTGTATAATGTAGATTGTGTGTGCTTGTACCCCGCTGATGGCATTATTAGGGTTCGTTATGCAGCTCGGGGTCTGTAGGGTAGGCGGCCCGCATATCCTCACCCTGGGTGGTACCTCCCCTATTGGTCTTTTTTTTTGCCCCGTGTTTTTTTTCTGGTTGCTCCTTACTCAGGGCCCCGAAACCTTTCCCCTAAACAGGGAGTCGAAGTTTTAACTCACGACATAACACAAAATATAAAAATTATATATATAAAAAAGGGGAAAAAAAGGAAAAAAATAAAATAAAAAAAAAATAATAAGTTGCGTATAGGGAGGGGCAGGATTGACGGGCATAGAATGTGTTACTCGTAGGGGTTTAGTAATAATGGGGTGAGGGGGCGGACCTTTGGTAATACATGGTTTAGGCTCACTTTATGGTAGGGGTAACCGTAAGTGCTTGGGGTGGAATTATAGGGCCGTAAGTTTTAATGGCGTTTTTCATTATTTTAGAGGTCTTTCTTATGGAAAAGAGGGGAGCCAAACATTATGCATTGAGAGTGGAGTTGGGCAGGGACTGGAATTCCCCCCCCCGCGGCTTCAGGGGGTGATACGGAAAATGGAGGGTAGGGCATGATGAGAGTCGACCAATGGAGTTAGGAAACAACAAGGGGCAGTGTTTCAAACTTGGCGAAGCCTCACTTAGTTTCCCCACTGACAAGGGACTGATATGCTTAAGCACGTAACGGTGCACCTAACCGGCGGTCCAGCATGTGTAACTATTCTCTCCCCTCTGGGGTTGCGGGCCCCAGTTTATGACTTCCGACGGTGGGCCTTGCCCCGGGCGCCCGCGGACCCGCTTTGCTCTCCTTGGGTGGGTGGGGTGGGCCGCGTTCGCCCTGGGGGGGCTACCATGACTTGGATAATATGGGGGCCGCTGCCTCCTGTGCGGCTGCTTGTCCCCTCCGGCTGGTCCTGTACTGGATTCGAGGGGTCGGCCGGCGGCTTGCGGGGTGAGGGGGGAAGGGATCATCAGCTGCAGCGTGTGGAGGGAGGGTGCCATGGAGGTAAATGTACGTTTCTCCCTTTTGTTAGTTCCCTATCTAAGTCCTCAGTTTTTGCCGTAATACCAATAGATAGGCAGGTTAGATCACGGGGGCCCCAGACTTATTTGCACACACACTCACCGTGAGGTCTCCCATGGTATGTTTACTGATAGAGGGCTGTGGAAATGCCGAGCTCACGCTCTCCATCCTGGTTCCTCGTGCTAATCATAGGGAGAACGCTAAGTCCATGAGGCCAATAACTTTAGGTGGGAGGCAGAATAATCACCGTGTTAAAGGGATCAATGGGGGACCGGGACCGACATAGAGCTCCCTGAGTGGGGCTGGCCCGGGGGCGGGGGGGACATCGAAAGACAACGGTTTTAAGTGACAAGTGAAAAAGGTTTTTCTATTGCAAAGGTCTAAATTTCTTACAATTGGCGCCTGAACGGTGGGAGCTCCGTATCCCGATGTTCCTCCCAACGTTGATCGTGGCAAGGAAACGGGACGACGTCCCCACAAATTTCCTGGCGGACAGTAAGACCAGGATGTCAGTGCATCGGACTGTGTCCGGGTGCAGTTTTTCTTTCTACTCTTTATTCTTTACCTTCTCTTTCTCTCCTCTTCCCTCTTTTTCTCTTCTTAGGGGGGGCCGCGGGGTTGGGGGGTTGGCAATGGGCTTGCTACAGAGACCCGAAAAAGAGTCTGATAGGACAAAGAACGTGAAATCATTATACAGAGCCTTACCTGACTTACTTGATGGAGATTAAAATCATTTCCTTGAATGTTAAGGGATTAAACGCTCCTAAGAAGCGTAGACTCCTATTACGGGAGCTAAAAAGAATGAACTCGGACATCGCTTTTATCCAAGAGACCCATTTGCCAGCACAGGCCAAGTTTAGGTTGAAAGATAACACGTATGCAGGCTCTTTTGAAGCCAGGTCCCACTGCAAACGAAACGGTGTAGCGATTATTGTTAGAAGTAGCTGCCCCTTTCGTAAAACTCATTTTGAAGCTGACCCAGAAGGTCGAATGGCTATCGTCTCAGGCGTTCTACATTCACATACGGTCCATTTGATCAACATCTACGCGCCAAATCAGCCAGACCCATTGTTCTGGGAAGTGCTTCGGGAGAAAATTAGGGGTCTGCCCCATGGAATGATATTTTTAGGAGGCGATTTCAATGCGGCCCCGTGCCCGGCGGTGGACAGGAGCTCGCGGACGGGTGCCCCTAGGTCACAGGGTAGGGGGGGACAGGATCGTCTGCTTAAAGATTTTATAGCTGCCACAGGACTTATAGATGTCTGGAGAGCTCACCATCCGGGCGATAAGGATTACTCTTTTTACTCTGCTCCACACGGAACATACTCAAGGATAGATCTCTTTTTGACTAACGCAACGGGCATGTCCCGAACCGTAGGATCCCGGGTGGGCAACATCTCATGGTCGGATCATGCTGATGTCTCCATTACGCTGGGTAATTTATGCGTCGCCTCGCCATGGACGTGGAAATTGAACACGTCCCTACTTCAAGACCCAGAGATACTGGAGCAAACCAGGAAAGGAATCACGGAATATTTTGAATTAAACACCACCCCTGAGGTGAACGCGTGCACGATTTGGGCGGCCCACAAGGTAGTTATTAGAGGGACCTTGATTAAACTGGCCACCAGAAAGAAGAAATTGAAATATCTACAGCTGGAGAAGTTGCTAGGGAACCTGAGATCCTTAGAACAAAGACATCAAGCGGCGCCGACGGAGGTCACCCTCAGGCAATTGGGAGCGACGAGACGGGACATTCACACTTTGTTGTTGGACGATGCGGCTCGTTCTATGACCTGGTCAAAACGGACATTTTTCGAGAAGGCGAACAAAATGGACACCTTATTAGCTAGAACGCTTAGGCCGAGGCAAGAGAGATCCCATATAACGGTGCTTAAACACTCGGATGGTACGGAGAGAACAAGACCAGCTGAGATAGCTGAGATTTTCGAGGATTTCTACAAAAGATTATACAACCACACCCCGGACGGAAGCCCCTACGGTGCCCGTGAAGAAGAATATATTTTGCAATATCTAGACAAACAGGGAATGACTAGATTGACTGGGGAGGCAACACACACGCTGGCGGCGGACATTTTGGAAGAGGAAGTGGACAAAGCTATCTCGAGCTTGAAAGGCAATAAAGCACCAGGGCCAGACGGCTTCGATGGTTCATATTACAAAACCTTTAGGAAAGAGCTAACGCCACATCTAGTCCAACTTTTTGATAACCTACGACAAGGTAGGCATTTGGACCCAGACATGTCATTGGCGACCATAGTGCTTTTGCCAAAACCCGGGAAGGACCCATTGTATCCTGAAAACTATAGACCTATTTCGCTAATCAACCATGATTTGAAAATATTGGCGAAAATCCTGGCTGATAGGCTGAACCCTTTACTAAATTCTCTTATCCATGCAGACCAAGTCGGATTCATCAGGAATAGACAATAATTCCAAAACTCCAGACGGAATATTGATTTGATTTGGAGGCAGGCGGCATTGGACACCCCTACATTGGTAGTCTCCATTGATGCAGAGAAAGCCTTCGACAGAGTACGGTGGCAATTTCTGTTCCCAGTTTTAAAGAACATGGGATTCCCGGAAGAATTTCTAACGATGACGGGAGCAATGTATCATAATGTTCGGGCACAAGTGCAGATATCGGGGGCCCCACTACGCCCCTTCAGATTGCATAATGGAACAAGACAGGGATGCCCACTCTCTCCCCTTCTTTTCGTTTTGGCCCTAGAACCCTTACTACAGGCTGTCCGAAGACACCCGAACATCGCTGGTGTACAGGTAGGAGACAAGGAATTTAAGGTTTCAGCTTATGCGGACGATGTCCTCCTGACCATCACGAACCCTATGGAATCAATGGAAGCAATACAAGAAGTCATAGCAGAGTACGGTACGCTATCAGGTTATAAGGCAAACATTCAGAAATCTAGTGCACTACCACTGTGCTTGTCGCAAGCTGATACGGTTCGGTTACAGGAGATTTACCAGATCCGCATGGAAACGGACTCTTTGAAGTATTTGGGAATTAATATGACAGCTGACCCCGAACGCCTATACTTAGCTAACTATACCCCTATGTTTAGAGACCTGATGAGGGACTTAGACAAATGGACGGACAAACCCATATCTTGGATCGGCAGAATACACTCAGTGAAGATGAATATACTTCCACGTATATTATTCCTCTTCCAGGCGCTACCCATAAGAGTAACGAAGACGCAATTACTACCGCTGCAAAGATCGATTGGAGATTTTATTTGGCAGAACAAGAGACATCGAATTGCTAAACAAGTGTTATACCGTCGCAAAGACAGAGGGGGATTGGGCCTGCCGAACCTCTATTTCTACTATTTGGCGGCTCAGCTGGCGCAGATAGCCATGTGGCATTCCATGATGGATGAGAGAAGGTGGGTAGAGATAGAGGCTATGATGGTAGGTGTTGACGTACCCCAATTCACGATATGGGTCTCGCCAGAACATAGACCGGAGATACGGAAAACATGCCCGACAATCCTCAACTCGATCCGAATATGGGATAATTGTAGACTAAAATACGGGCTGGCCTCATCCCCTTCTCCACTGACCCCCTTTTTGAGAAACAGGGAATTCCCGCCTGGTATGGCCCCCAGAGACTTCAGGAACATAGAAAGGACTGGGCTACAACGGATTCACCAATTATATCATGAGGGAGAGGTAATACAGTTTGCAGATCTTCAAGCAGGAAACCACCTAACCCCTGCAGATTTCTTTAGGTATGTCCAAATACGGGACTTCGCCAAGAAGCCACATATCAAGTCGGCTGCCTCCGGGAGGCCCACTTTTTATGAGAGGATTTGCTCGGAGGGGGCAACCCCCCAGGGGTTGATTACTCTCATATACGCACACCTCTGCGGAGAAAATAAAGAATGGGGAAGGTTAACTTACATTGATCAATGGGAGAATGATCTCGGGGAGACTTTGGAAGGGGTCGAGTGGCAGGAGATATGGGAAGCCAGCGCCAAGGTCTCCATTTGTGTCACCCTTCAAGAGCAGGCTTGGAAAACTCTGTTCAGATGGTATACTACCCCAGTCAAACTTCATAGAATGCATAAACGGGAGACAGATGATTGTTGGCGTGGGTGTGGAGCACGAGGGACTTATATTCATATGTGGTGGGGGTGTCCGAGGCTACTAGGCTTTTGGAAGTCTATTGAAGACCTATTGAAACAGACGTTTGAAAAACCCCTGAAAATGGACCCGTGGATTTATTTATTAAATAGATCAATTGATGGATGGACCAGAAGGGAGCAGAAGTTAGTACACAAAATCACACTGTGTGCGCGCAGAGCAATAGCATCGGCATGGCTTACATTAGAGGGCCCGGATATCGCAGGGGTTATATCTAGAATTAAAGAAAGTAGAGTGATGGACGACTTAACGGCAAGGGTGAGAGGTAATGTATCAACGTTTTATAAAATTTGGGAACCTTGGGACAATAGTGTAGTTGGCTCAAGAGGGGAGTGAGTGCCTTCCCTGGCACAAGTACGAATCGTACCGGAATTCATTAACGCTAGCAGGGTCTTCTGTGCCGGCGGGGCTGCTGTTTTTTGACCCTTCTCTCGTTGGTCCCCCCTCCTTCTTTTCCCTTTTTCCCTCTTCTAAACTTTCCTCTAATCTTCTACATCCTCGTTCCTATCTATCTTCTTTTTTCTCCTTTTATATTTCATTTTTCTTGCTTTCGTTTTTAATTTTTCCAGGCATGGTCATACGATGGGAGGAAAATGAAACAACGACACGATACTGATTAATACATCTGAATGATTGCTGTCGTTGCTATCTACTCATATTATGATCCGCACATATCCTCTCCAGAGTTGGCAACGCCTATCGTATTATAAGAATAGGGTTGGCATTAATGGAGCGGAATGGTACGCGATTATTTAGCTAGTATTCAAGCCCAGCTGGGATCTCATGCCTAGAATGGATAAGGAGCTCATAGATCACATGATGCCCACATTACCGACAGATGTCAACAGTGTGGCAAGGCTGGAGCTTATTCAATGTGACCAAAAGAAATATACTTTAATTGACTTTTATATTAGCCTCGATAGGGATTGAAAAAGACTTATCTTTTTGTTGTGTGAATACATTGTTTATAGTTATATAAAACAAAAAATCCTCAGTAGACGGCAAGTGCCTATAGCTCACATATGAATGGGCTTATACTGTCATTGTTAAGCTGTATTTTGTATAACGTTATTATTACACTGGCTTTTGCATAAGCCCAAAGTCGTTAATAACTTGATACGTCTATTGAGCAAAAATAAAGAATGTAAAAAAAAAAAAAGATGACACTACAACGTTTGTCCATGCTCTTGTTGTTCCCCGCCTTGATTATTGTAACCCTCTGCTTTTCAGACTTAAAAATGGAAAGATTGCCCCTCTACAGACAGCGATGGACTCCTCTACCAGACTCATCTATCTCACATCCAGGAATTCCCACACCTCACCCCTCTGTCAGTTTTTACACTGTTTTTGGCTTCCTGTTTCATTCATTCAGGATTTAGATCAAAGTTCTGGTGCTTACTTACAATGCTCTCGAAAACAGCACCCCTACTTACAACTCTTCCCTCATTAGCACATGTGCTCCAGCTCATCCTTTTCACTCAGCTGACAACCAGTTACTTGACAACAACCAGTTACTTGCACCTGCACCCTAGACTCTCACCTGAAGGACTTCTCTAAGGTTGACCCATTTTTGTTATTCAAAAAAGTCCCTAAAAACACTTCTTTAGAGAAGGCTCTCCTCTTAACTCCTCATCCCCCACAATCTTCCTCTGTTGTCCCCCATCTACTGTGCTCCATTCCTCCTAAACGCCCCTCCAGTCCTTGGTTATTATTTTATTATTTATATAGCGCCATCAGATTCCATAGTGCTGTACAATGGGTGGACTAACAGACACGTAACTGTAACCAGACAACTGGACGTACAGGAACACAAGGGGTGGAGGTCCCTGCTCAATGAGCTTACATTCTAGAGATTTTTTACATGTAGTTTACTTGATTACCTCACTGCCTCATCCCTTTAGATTGTAAGCTTGTTTTTGCAGGGCCCTTTTCACCTACTCTTCCCATTTGTCATACATATTTTCTTAGAATTAAAGGTTTATCTTGAGTCCTAGTGTACAACCCTGTCGAATATGTTGGCGCTATATAAATAATTGTCACTGAGACGGTTCAGTTAAAGGAAAGCTTGCATAATATTAAAAACTGAAATAGACAATGTCTTCAAAGTGCAGTAACTGGTTAACAGGGACACTGTATGTGTAGTGATAGCAGAGATCTGCCTATCTCCTATACCATCTCAATCCTCTGGATGAGGAGAGTCAAGGTGAGCTTTGATATCATTGAATTTTCCTAATACTATTGACGAACGAGCCCAATGTATCTGAAAGTAGCTGTGGATGTCTTTATCTGATTTGAGGCTCGGTGGATCCTAATTAACTTCATTTGCACAATAAATCGAATGCGCTTATGTACCTAATTTAAGAAGCACAGGCCTCAATCTGAAAGGCGAATTCTCATACCACATCACTGTCTTAAATAATCCATTTTATCAACTACTTCATGCAGCAAATCGTGAACCGTGGCATGGATACACGATGAAAGCAGCCATCTACTAACATGTTCTAAAAATCTGGCCAGCCTGGCCAGTAATAGTCATAATCGTGGAAATTAGCCCTTTAATATCAAACTAATGTTTATTTTCAAAACTCCCAACATGGACCTGTGAGATGAGATGTTTAACTGTTAAGAATACAAAGATTTATTCCTAATATCAACGTGTTCCGCAGCCCTCGCGCCCTCCCCCTCCCCGCCCCTCAGCATTGTAAAGTGTAAATAACCTTTAATTCACTTACGTGACTCCAGTTCAGAGGTCCCTTGGTGGTAGGTCATGGTCCATCTCCTCCGACGTCATCTGATGGGAGGGACCTAATGTGCATGTGCAGCAAGAGTCGTGTGCGCATTAGGATTTCTGGATTGGAAAGCATTGCCTCAATGCATTCCGACAGGGTTTTCTCTGGCACTGAACATCCTTATGTAGAGCATGAGGACATCCAGTGTGGTTTCACGATCCACGAAGCACCTCTACTGGCGGTCTGGTAGACTAGACAGCCTTAGCACTGCTATGTGAATCTTGCAGTTTCTCTAAAAATTTTATGTTTTACAAAGCAGGACCAAAGGGGACAAGGGCATTGCACCCAAGCAACTTCAATGAGATGAAGTGGTCTGAATGCCTACCGTGTCCCTCTAACTACATTTCCCATGATGGTGATCCAGTTGTAGTGATGGCCACTGATGTCGGTAAAATGCGTCAGGTCTGCAATTACCCTGAATGCCTAGGTTTGTAGATATCTTTGGAAATGCTGGAATTAGCTTGCTAATGTGATAAATAAGGGAATTCTGGGAGTTTTGGTTTCAAATAGTATAATCCTAGAGTCTCATTGTACATTGTAGATTACCTGGGTATTAGGGTGACTGAGCATATTCTCAATGAGTCTGATTGAATTAGGCCATATATCATTTTTTGCTGCAAATTACAAGATTCCGAGGGTAAATGGGCACATTCTCATGGTCAAATATTATATTTCCAGGAGAAGGGGAAGATTAGGCAATTTTCTCAGGGTTGACCATTTCCCAGGTGAATAGACAGATTTTTTTTTTTTCTTTTAAAAAAGGTTTATAGCAGAGGGAGAAGATATTTTGAATAGCAAAAACATTAATTCCATTAAAAAAAAAAAAAAAGACGCAACAATGGCATGGAAACAACATTCTAGAACCATCTGGACCAATCGACTAGATAGACGGATGATGGAAGATTTATGGGCAGATTCTTATAGCCAGTTAGCAAATTCAAAAGGTCGCATAGGCAGATTTACAGAAATAATCGGCAGATTCTTATATATAAAAGATATTTGGCAAATTCGGTTGGGTGAATGAATTCCTTATCCATTCTCCTAGCCAAGAGGAGTGTGCAGAATCTCAGGGCCTTGAGGTAATAGTGTATTTTTTCAGGCTCGCAAGCTGCATGAGCAGATTCTCAGCATAAACGGACAGATTTTTAGAGTGTATGGTCAGACGGACGCGGAATGGACAGAAAGTATGGTTGTGGGGTCTGTAGATATGACTGGGGTAGCGGGAACATAGGCCTGCTAAGTGGGCAATGAAAAGTAGAGGAGGGCTGATAGACAGAAACGTATATTGACAAACGAAGGAAGGCATACAATGAGTGATAGCAACATAGATAAATCAAAAAGGACCAAAGGTTTGATTTAGAACAGGAGCCATTGATTTCCTTTGAATCAAGAGCCATTGATTTCCTTTGAATCAGGAGCCACTGATTTAATTTGGATCAGGAGCCACTGATTTAATTTGAATCAGGAGCCATTGATTTCATTTGTGTCATTGTTCGTGCACGTGGCTGTAAAGTGGTAGTGCCACCCCAGGTGCACATGTGTGCCAGGACAATACGGTGCCCAGCACAAAGTTTAAACATGGCTGTCCATGTGCAGAGCTGGGCTAAAATATGAGGAAATGACAAGTCAAAATGGTTTAGTAATCAGAATGTGCTACAGGTTATGGTGATTTTTCCCTGGGGACCTGTGAAGCAGGACATCAGAAAACCCCCCACAACAGAAGTGAGATCAGGACTGCTCCTCTGGAATCAAGACAGTTGGCATGTATGCAACAGACATGAGGATGAGGGGGTATTATACTGACCTGTACCGAGTTTATACAGCTGCCCTGGGTGGTAACACAAGCTACATGGAATCTTTCAGATGGGGATACTGAAGTTTAAACCTTTTGAACAAGCTAATTTCCTTCAGAAAGTTCCATTGCTTGCTAATGCAGCTTAGTACACTCTACAAAAATAAATACTTTTATAAAAAA